ATATGTTGTTTCATGAAATTCTTCTGTGTCCACCAATTCTTTTTGGCATAATGCCTCTGTATACTCTTTCCATCTTCTTTTAATGCTTCCTGGGTCATTTAATATTCTAGTAAAAGCATCCTTAAATATTACAACTCAATGTTTTAATTTGTTCTTCTGTTCCTTCAGCTTAAGAAATGCTGAGCGAGTAAGGACCTTTTGATTTTCTGACTTCAGTTCCTTGCACATTTAATTGTAATATTTTACTTTGTCTTCCTACGCTGCCCTCTGGAATCTTCTATTCAACTCCTCAATATCTTTATTTTTTCTTCCCTTTATTTTGGCTTCTTGGTGCTCCAATGAAATATTTAAAGTTTCTTCTGACACCCAGTTTTGTCTAGCTATGCTGAAGCATAACTTCCAGGATCACAGCAACACAACAAAAACCATCACAATAACACAACACAAGCCACCACAGTATGGCCAACAGACAAAAGTGACCGGTAACAACTAGTGGAGTTTCAAAATTATGCCTTCTCAGTATTAAGCTTATGTGTTTTATTGAAACTATGTAATCCTGCCCTATTGCCTGAAGCTTATATATTAAACTTTGAGACTTGTTTGCTTACCTTAATTTGCATTTTGATTTCATATATTACTAACTTTAGCTGTTCATTAATAATGTGTACATCCTTTAACAATTGGACTGTGCAATGTACAAAGTGTGAATTTAGAAAAACGATGTTGTAAAAAATGAAATAGAATGTATAAACATTTTCCTTATAGGCATTAGCAAACTGAGGTGTACATTTAATAAGACAATCACATCTTCTAATATGCCAAAAATAAAAATGTGAATAAGAGAAGGGTTGGATTCATATTGAAAATCCCTTTCAAGATCCATCATAAAGGGCAATGCTATAAGTGGTAAGATAACTTCTATATGCCTACAAAGAATAGCTGCTATTGCAACTATTATGCAAATATATGCCTCACCAACAAAAGCAAAGGGGAAGAAATGTAGGATTTCTACCAATTTCTGCAGTTCAAAATCAAGTGAACCATAATTTCAAGAGTTGTTAATAAAGATTGGTGACTAGAATGCAAAAGATAGGAAGCAGGAAGTCTGTAATCAGAAGTTAAGAAATGAGGCTAATGATTGAATTTTGTACAATGATTTATTAATTACAAATACCTTCTTTTAAAAAACACAAACAATAACTATTCACTTAGTCTTCATCTCATGGAATACACGAAAATCACATTGACTATATCTTTTGAAGAAATTGCAGAAATTCAACATCAGCAGTCAAATTCAGGCCAGGTGCTGACTGTGCAACAGACTATCAACTATTCATGTGCAAATTTATTATAACTGATGCTGGAAAATGTACACAAATTCATAAGAATAAAAATATGAGTGTGACTCTATCCCAGCTATGTTTAAAAATCATGTTAATAATAGGTTTGAGGCATTAAATACTAATAATTGAAGATCAGATGAGTGTTAGGATCACCTTGAAGACATTATCTCTGAAGAAGCAAAAGGTCATTACAAACACAGAAGATAAATTAGAAAAACCAAACTAGATGTCAGATGAGACTGTAGAAAATAACTCTAGAAAATCAAGGAGCCAAAATAAAGGAACAAAACTACTAAATAAACCCTAACAATATTTTAAAGGATAGCTTAAGAAGACAAACTGAATTATTATAACAAAATTTGCAAAGACCTAGTGTTAAACAATCAAAAGGGAGGTTATCAGTGGACATTTCTGAAGCTGAAAGAACTGAAAAACAAATTCAAATCTTGAGTTTACGGTACAGAAGGATGATATGGGAGAAATCTGAATGATAAAAGGAGGCATACAGAAGAGATTAAAAGGAATACAGTCATTGCACCAAAAAGGATTGGCTGACATAGAACCAATTCAGGAAGTAGCATATGGTAACCAGCAATCAATGGTAATAAAGAAGTAATTCGTGCTAACAAAGGCATTGGAAAAAAAAAAATAAGGTCCTAGGAACTGATGTAGTTCCAACTGACATTTCAGCAGAGAGGTAGCCCTGGTCTTCCTCACCAGGGTATGCCAAGAAATATGGAAGATAGCTAACTATACAACTGACTGGAAGAGACTCATATTTATCCCCCAAATTATGACTAGCCAGACTGTGGAAACTATTTTACAATATCACACGCAAGAAGATCTTGCTGAGAATTACTTAAAAATGGCTTAAACAACCCATTAACAGAGAACTGCCAAAAGTTCAAATTGGGTTGGGAAGAGGCCATGGCACCAAGTCATTGCTGATGCCACATGAGTCTTGGCAGAAAAGAAGAAATTCTAGAAGGATGTCTATCTGTGTTTTATTGACTACACAAAGATGTTCAATCATAAAAAATTATGGCTAATGTTGAGAAAAATGAGAATTCTAGAATACTTAATTGTGCTTGTGTGAAACTTCTATCTCAACCAAGAAGAGCAACACTACATGGTTTAAAATCAAGAAAGGTGTACATCACGTCAGTATCTTTCTCTATACTGCTCAATCTGTATGCAGAACAAATTTTTAGAGAAATCAGTCTTTATGAATTAATATATGACACCAGGGTTGGAGAAAATTCAGCAACAGCCTTTCTTATACACATCATACAACCCTGCTCACTTAAAGTGAGTAGGACTTGAAGCACTTGCTGCAGAAGATCAGGACTTCAATATGGATTAAAATCTAAACATCAAGAAGACAAAATCCTTACCTCAGGGCCAATATGCACCGTCATGGTAGATGGAGAAAAGATTAAATGATTTTACCTTACTTTGATGTGCAATGAACACTTTTGGTACCAGCAGTTAAAAAATCAAAAGGTAAGTAATATTGTGATAATCTGCTGTCAGGAACTTCTCCCGAGTACTAAAGAGCAATGATGTCAATTTAAAGAGTAAGGTACGCCATATCCAAGCCATGGTCTTACCGATCCTTGCTATGCATCTTAAAATAGGACGATGACTAAGGATGAAAGAAGAAGAATTAAAACCTTTGAAGTGTTGGAAGAGAGTATTGAATATCCTGTGGACTGCCAAGAAAACAAAAAGAGCTGTCCAAGAGAAAGAAACCCAGGGTGGTCCTCAGAGAGAAGGATAGTAAGACTCTGTCTCACATACTTTCGGCATGTTGTAAGGAGGGAACAGTCCTTGGAGAAGGTTATCATTCTTTGAAAGGTAAATGGTCAGACAATGAGAGGAAAACACTCGGCAGGTTAGATTAACACAGTGAATATATCAATGTACTCAAGTGTATTAGAAGTGGTGAAGATGGTACAAAATAGGACAGGTTTCCGATCCCGTGTTGATAAGGTTGCTATGAGTTGTATGAGTTGTAGTCAACTCGACTGCACGTAACAACAGGAAGAATAATCTTAGATAATAGATTATTTTCTTGGAATAACGTTCCAAAGTAAATATTTTGCATGTATTTATACATTTAATTCTCACAACAACCCTATGGCACAAATACTATTAGTTTATCCATTTTTCTAGGCAAGATCACCAAAGGTCAGAATTGACTTAGTGATAATTAAAAAGCCTGAAGCAACAGAATTTAAAAGGTTAATTTAAAAGTCTTTACAAAGAGCACATAGTAAGCAGCAGACATTTGAAACCTAGGAGGTCTAGTGCTGGAGTCTATATTAATTTTCACCACCTTCCTGCTGAATAGAGACTGTCTTTGTTATAATAGAAATTCATATATTCCAGAAGAACAGACTATGTTATATTTTAAACTAAATTTGGAGATATTGAGTTTCAAATTTTCCCCTGAATTAATTATCTAGTGGTTTAAGGGATTAAGTGTGTAAAAAAATTTATGGTATTTTATATTTAAATTAATTTAAAATTAAAATTGTGGCTATTATTATCCCTGTTATTATTAAACCTGTTGGCTTATGTTGATAAAAATGTTAATATAATTACAGATCTTGAAAAAACTGTAAGAAGAGCCAGCTTTTGACTTACTTGGTATATATTAGATTTAGAGTAAGTAATCATTTGTTAGATTAAGTTTAATGTGATCACAAAGATAGTAAAACAGAAATCTTTTTGTGATTATATAAGCAAATAACTATTGTTCTAACTGGTGTATGAACTTTTATTTCTATCATTATGTTTGAAAATGGGAATTTGATATACATTTGAATGCTAATTTTTGTAGTACCTGGATTTCATGTTTATATTACGTATTTTTTGATAAGTGAGGACACATTTTATTGACTTTGTTTTATAGATTAGAATGTTTTTTAAAAATATGTTTTATGTATAACTTTTTAAAACATATATATAATATATTTCTGGATATGTTCTATATGTGTCTATTCTCATCTATTTGGTTTTTTGTTTGTTTTTTAGGATGTTTCCGCACCAGGCAGCTATGATGTTCAAAAATCATATGATATGTCACATGGTAAACGAAAATACATGCCACCTCGTAGTTTAGTGGCCAAAATAAACCATACCTCCTTTCTCAGTTCAGCTCCTCGATGGTTTGAAAAAATTCCAGAAGGACCAGGTAAGTGTATACTGGGGAGACTTTGGAGGAAAAAAGCAGTATGTGATTCAGATTCATAAAGACAGACAAGCAGACAAATGCGTATTAGTATTTTATTATTTATCTTTTAAAGATGTAGAAGAAAAAGTGATTCAAGATTTTTTATCCCTTTATGTTAGACTTGTTTGAGGCTTTGTGTTTTCTAACTTCATTAATTCAAAAAAGATTATCTAACATTCTGTTATATGAAGAAACTCTACTGTGTTTAATATGTTGTTGTTAGGTGCCATTGAGCAGAGTATGACTCACAGTGACCTATGAACAGCAGACCTGAACTCTGTCCTATCTTGTACCATCCTCACAATCTCTGACATATTTGAGCCCCATTGCTTCAGTCACTTCAATACAAATTCATCTGTTTGAGGGTCTTCTATTTTTTGCTGACCCTCTACCGTTCCAAGCATGATGTCCTCTCCAATAAATAGTCTATCCTAACATAGCATGACCAAATATGTCAGACAAAGCTTTGCCTCTGACAAGCATTCTAGTTGCACTTTTGAGACATATTTGTTTCTTATTTTGGCAGTCCATGGGATATTTAGTACTCCATCTTCAGCACCACAACTGTAAGTTATAAATTCTTCTTTTGTCCTCAATACTAATTGTCCATCACTCAGCAGCATACAAATGATTGAAAAGACGATGGCCTGAATAAGGTGCACTTTTGCCCTCACACTGGCATCAACACTCCTCAATAGTTTTGAAAGGTCCCTGACTGCAGACTTTCCAATGCCAGACATTTCCTGATCTCCTGACCACTAATACTAAGTATATTGACTGTATATGCCAGTAAGATGAAGTCATTGACAATTTCAATTTTTTTCTTCATTTATCATGATGTTGTTTTTCCAGTCCACTGGTGAGAACTTTTGTTTTCTTGACACTGAAATGAAATCCAAATAGAAGACTGTAGTCTTTGATCTTCTGCAGTTAGTGTTTCAAGTCTTCCTCACTTTCAGTGAGCAAGGTTGTGTTGTCTACCTAATGAAGATTATTGATGAGTCTTCTGCCAATCCTGCGGCCACCTTCTGCTTTATAGTCAAGGTTCTTAAGTAATTTGCTCAGCATACAGATTGAATAGGTATGGAAAAAGGATACAACCCTGAAACACATTTTCCTTAGTTTTAAACAATGTGTGATTCCCTAGCTCTGTTTACACAATGGCCTCTTGAGCTAGGTGTAAGTTTCACATGAGCACACTTAAAGAGCTCTGAGATTCCAGTGCTTCTCTATGTAAACCATAATTTATTATGATACACACAGTCAGACATGCCTTTGTTTCATCAATAAAGCACAAATAGATATTCCTCTAGTATTCTTTAGTTTCAGCCAGGATCCATCTGAAATCAGTAATGCCATGGCCTCTTCTAAATCTAGCTTGAACTTCTGGCATTTCTCTATGTATTGATCTAGCCATTTTTAAATGATTTTCAGCAGTTTTTACTTGCATGTGATATTAATCGTATTGTTCAATAATTACTACATTCTTTTAGGTCACTTTTTTGGGGGGAATGAGGAAAAATGTAGATCTAGATACTAACATTCATACATTACTCTTTTTAATTGTAGTCTTCAAAATGGACTGAAGCTTGCCATCAAGAGGACAAAGATTATCAACCCTGGGCCAATTGGCAGGACCATAATGATGGAAAAGAGATTGAGGTTGTTAATAGTTTCAGTTTGCTCATCTCAACAATAAATATATCAACATCCTTGGCACTAGCAGTCAGGAAATCAAAGACAAATTGCATTGAGGAAGTCTGCTTTTAGGGACATCTCCAGAGTGTTGAGGAACAGTGATGTCTAGAGAGTAAGGCACCTCATCCATGCCATGGTCTTCACAATTACACACTATACATTAGATAGCTAGATGACAAAGGATGGCAGCAGAGAAAATGATGCCTTCTAGCTGTGATACTTAAGAAGAGTATTGAATATATCATGGACTTCCAGGAGAACCAATAGGTCTGTCTTGGAGATGATGAAACAAGTTTCTCCTTGCAAGTTAGGATTTTGAAATTTTGTCTCACATACTTTGGGCCAAGAGGAAACCAGTCCTTGGAGAAGGGCATTATTCTTGGAAGAGTGAAGGGACAGTGCAGGAGAGGAAGACCTTGAATGAGATGGATTGGCACAATAACTGGCGAAATGGCATTGTGTCTGTATATTGTGTATATTGTGTTTATTTTGTCTGTATATTGTGTCTGATGGTGAGACTGGCTCAAGAGAGGATCAGATGCAGAACTGTTGTACCTAAAGTTGCTATGAGTTGCATGCAACTCAATGGCACATGACAACAACAACATATGTTAAAGAGTTCAATAAGTAATGATAACTAATGTTGTTATAGAGTTCTTCTAGTGGTGTAGTCTGTAGGGACTTTTCTTGCTAACCAAAAGATGCATTACTGGCAGTTAGAATCTTATCAGCAGCTCTGTAGGAAAAAAATAGACAGTCTCCTCCCATGTAATTTAAACCTCTAAGAATTTCCTGGAGGGTCAGCTATAATTAGGTTCAAACTTCATAGTATATACTACAGAGTATGAGTGTTGTAGGAGAAAAAATTTCTCCTGATTTGGAAAATGAGTAGTACATAAAGTACAATACATATCTTGTCAGTTTCATAGAATAATTTTTCTTTTTGTCAGTTTTCAGGTATATGGTGATAGATAGATAGATAAATAAATAAATAAATTTCAACTTTAAAAATTAAGATTGACGTAGCTATTGCTAATAGCATTCTTGGTCTATAACCGAATGCAAAAATTTTCCTTGGTAGTAAGATAAAGTGCTAACTAAATATAACATTCCATACAAGAAAACTAGATAAAAAACTGTTATTATAAATAAAAAATTGTTGTTGTAACTTACCATCAAGTCAGAACCAACCCATAGCTGACCCTCCAGGGGGTTTTCACAGGCAGTTAATAGCAAGAGGATATTTCCCATCTTTCCCCCATGGAGTATCTGGTAGATTCAAACTATGTTTTCAACAGAAATTTAAAAATTGTTTTACTACTAAACAACCAAAACTGTTATAATGAATTTTTATGAAAATGTAAAGTGCAAAAATGTAGCCAAATGGAGAAACTACATCAGAGTTTAAAATAAATCTGAACAGGCAAATACACTTGTCAAACAAGTAAGAACAAATCTTGAGATTATACACATGTAGAATTGCTTTGTTCTGCACTTTCTTTCAATTATTAGGAATACTGTCTATTGAAAGGTCCACATTAAGCTGAAATGTAAGATTTTAAAATTGTATTTTCTTGATTTACTGCATTATTTTTCAATAGAACAGGTTTCAGCTTTGCCAAAAAGTTTCAAAACTCTTTTAGGTGTCTCTGACCACATAGCGTTGCATTTCCTTTTAAATCTCTGGGGGAAAGCTGAAGTGTCTATCTATTAAAGTAGATAGTGACAAGAAGCTATGTTGCGATCTCAAAGGTACTGGTTCAAGTCCAGTAGCTGCTCTGTGGTAGAAAGATGGGCAATATCCTCTAGTGTGATTAGCTGCCTCTGAAAACCTGCCAGAGAGTCAGCTATGGGTTGAGTCTGACTTAATATTACACAGCAACAACAACAAAAACTCATTTTAGAGATCCTCAATTTAATCTCTGGGGCTAAATCTTCATGAGATGAGGCTAACCATTTAACTACCTCAGAGCAACTGATAGAATTGAATGATCAATCCTTAAGTTAGCATCCTAAAACATAATGCACTATACTACAAGTATTCATTAAAAAATAATTTCATACAATAAATTATTTGAACCACTAAGATAATTACCAGCAACAACTATAATTAGCCAATTAATAAAGTAACAAAGAATTACCAGTAGTAATAAATACCTCTTGTTACAGATTACAGTGAGTTTAATAGTTCCAGAAGATTTCTTTTCTACTTATACACTCCTTCCTATAAATATACCTGTGGATTAGACATGTAAGAATTTTGGTTAGGTAGGAAGATTTGCAGTGTGACACTTTTTTATTATTTAGGCTAGAACAAGTAAATTCACTAGTATATTTCATCCATCTATATTTTCCAAAATAATATTTGCCACTTATTTGACTTTCACAGGAGTACTAAAAATTAATGACAGTTCAAAGTCATTTTCAGAACCTCTGAATTTCTTTAGAAGTTTAAAATCTTATAATATGAAACATATTTTCCCTTAATGTCAACCAACGCTAACTTCTAGGGAACTTGGAATGAGAGGGAAATATCTTCTTTATAAAGACAATTATTATGTGGAAGTCAAAGATATTGTAACTGTCAAAGTTGCTATATAAGTGTTACTATTAAGCTGTGGAATAGTCAAGCTGCTAAGTGAAAAGTGTTTATCACATTAGTTAATAATCATTATCCATTAGTTTTGCCATCCTGAAACTTAAAATGGATCTTATTTCAAATAAACGATGTCAGAAAACAATAATGTTTATATAGTCAACATGTGGGGGGGGAACACCTAACAACTTTATGAATTCTAATCTGTTTTTTAAAATTTTTGTTTCCTTTTATATAATAATTCACTTATAGTGCTTCATTTATATGTATTATGTTTTATACAGTCTTTTAAATTGTATTTAATGCAATCATTCATATACACTGTAGTTTATGTAATTAGTTACCATTGATCTATGCCATTTTTGTACCATCTTTTCAATTCCCCAAGGAATCTTTCTTATTTCTTCACCACCAACCCTCAATCCACCTACTAAAGTCTTCTAGTGATTTCTACCCTTTCCCCTTTTCTTTCAACTTCCTTCTTTTCCCTTGCCCTTTAGAACATTAATACACATTTTACTAGTTACACTTCTATTTTTTTTTAATTAAGATTTTTATTATAAGTTTATTAAGAACTTGAATTTCCATTCATTCATTGTTGCACATTTTCCTCCCCACCCCGCCTCCCAGTTGCCTTTTTTCTTTGGAAAAAAATTCTTTCATTGTT